TCTCTCTCTCTCACACACACACACACACACACACATAAAAATTTTCATACACACACACACATAACACAACACCACACACACAAACTCATACACACACGCACACACACTCATACTCACACACACACACACACTCATACACACACTCACACTCATACACACACACACACTCATACTCACACACACACACCCCCACACACCCCACACACACACACCACACACACACACACACACACACACACACTCACACACATAACACACTAACACACACACACACACACACACACACACACACACACACACACACCACACACACACACACACACACCACACACACACACATGCACACAGTTTACCTGGAGTTTACCGGGAGAGAGTTTCGGGGGTCAACGCCCCCGCGGCCCGGTCTGTGACCAGGCCTCCTGGTGGATCAGCGCCTGATCAACCAGGCTGTTGCTGCTGGTAATGCTTTATTTACAGCTAGCAAAGTCAGGGTATTTCTCCAGAATGGTCTGTAATATACCACTGTGGATAAAATACTTAGCCAAATTTCTGAACACTTCTGAGTGATTGTTTCTAAATTCATTAATTTTATCGCACTCCAGTACATAATGACGCAGGTGTGACAATAATCCATCTGGCAAAGTTTACATTCGTTTGTCTACATCTGGTGGTGATTTAACCTGCCAAAGATACTTGTAACCCCAGCCGGAGCCGGCGGTAGTGACATCCAAGAGTCTGCTTATTTTGTTGGATGCACCATAGAACATTTTGGCTCCTCCTGCATGATAGAATGATGATAGATGGACCACTGGTGTCAATCTCCCTGACCCTTAAAGCCATAAAATTCAGCTGAAGTTCTTTTCGTATTATTGTTCTAAAACTACTACCTGACAAGCCAAGATTGTAATCTACTCCCTTTTTGAAAGCATACAGTTTAGCCAATTTATCAGTTCTATCATGCATCTGAAGCCCAAAATGAGATGGAATCCACAGCATGTGCACTCTGACTCCACTGTCCACAATCCTACCATACCTGTGTCTGGCTTCTGACACAAGCATGCCACATTTATGCTTAATGAGTTGAGAGCATTTATGGATGACAGAGAATCAGTTACAATTAAACTGTCAATCTTTGATACATAGATGCATTTCAGTGCAAGGAGTATGGCAAACAGTTCTGTCTGAAGGGTAGAGGCCCAATTATTGATGCGTGCTCCAATTTCTTTAAGAGAGCCATCACTCTGTACGACAACAGCAGCACTACCAGCTGCACCAGTGGATTGGTGAACAGAACCATCAACGTAAATAATTTGCGAGAGTGTGTGCTGTGTGACTAAGTTATCAATACAGCTTAAGGCCTCATGTTTGGCTTCAAGGCGAAGTTTTGGTTGGGTGACACCACCACCCCTCACATTCCCTCCTCCACTAACATTACACGCAACACTACAACTGTCATCACCAGCGCCACTACCAACATTGTGTTCATTACATTTGTCAACAGTATTGTATTCAACATTAATGTCTATGTGACTAACCTCATCACACTCTGCACCACCACTTATATATTTGTTCCATATAACCTCAAATCTACTAACTCTTGTGTTCTATATATTAAAAAATCACTTCCCCATCAACTTCTTGCACACAAGAAAACAGAGGGGCTACAATATCACGGTGTTAGGATTTATATAGGGAACTCTGCTCTCAACATATTTAACTTGTATGCTCCTGCTGATAAATTTAATTACTTGGAGCTCCCAACTTGTGCTCATTCTGAGCCTACTCTTATTATTGGCGATTACAATGCGAGACACAAAAGCATTGGAACTCACAGTTTGGTAATCGTAATGGCAATCAACGTTGTCACTCTAAACATCATGATAATGTCCAAATTGTAGTGACCTTGAACCCACACATATCTATGGAGGCGTCCTTGATCTGTGCCTGGGCTTCAACATTACTTCTGCCAGCTGGGGAGTCTTCCATTGTAACAGATATAGCGTCTAAATCATTTCCCTAGGCTAACCTCTCTAAAATTTGGGTAATACAAATCCTTCCTGGTGGGATATTTCAAACGGAAACGTTTTAATGTTCCCACAGATCAGCATGATGACTTTGTTGCACATGTGACTGACTGGTATAATTCCTATGATGTTCCTCTGTAGAGACCTTTAACAATGATCTTTGAGCATATTCAGAACTATTTAAGCCGCCACTGCAACCTCTTGGGAAACTCTAAACCCAACAAACTTCCGTAATAATCATACCTCCTTCAAAAACCATACTTATTACAATGATTCTAAACTTCGTACACTGAAACGTACTGCTCGCAGACTAGGGCCCAGCCTATAGAAAACATCGTACCCCTGGAATGCTGAGGCTCTTCCCAAAATGCCCTTGCTGCTGCCAGAGAGCGTATGACAGAGCTGCGGCAAACCGACTGGGAAAAATTTGTCAACGGTCTTAATGCTCACAAAACCCCCACTTAGCCGGCATGGAGGACATAAATAGAATTAAGGGTAAACGAACTGGGCAGATCGCGCACCCTCATCCCTTGCATAGGGCGAAAAGAGTTAGTCAGTGGGTTGGGCTGCTACATCTAGCTATGACAATCTTCCCAGTACCACACAGGCAAAATTAAATGATAAATATGATGCAAGGGGGAGACTGTTTTTCTTTATGCTCAGCAAGGCAGATGATTGCAACATTCCTTTCACTAAATTTTGAACTTGATGCAGCGCTAACTAAGGGCAACTCCACGTCGCCTGGTGAGGATGGTAATTACTTACAACAAACTCAATTGCTGTGTCGATACCAGGTAACCATTACTTGAATTATATAACATGAGCTATGTAACTGGGGGGCTCCCCCAATCTTGGACCAACAGCCTCACATTCCAGTTCCTAAGCCCAATCAACAAAATGCATTTCGCCCCCAAAATCTCTTTCTAGCTGCTTGTGTAAAACATTTTGAGAGAATGATTCTTAATCGTCTCATGTACAGAATCAAACAATTTTTGTCTCCCCGGTTACATGGTTTCATGCATGGAAGGAGCGTGCATCATTGCATAGCCACCTTTCTCACCCTGCACACTGACAGCTCCTACACTACCTTCCTTGACCTTAAATCCGCTTTCGATGTAGCCCAACCGACATGTAATAATTAGTGAACTTGCCAGAATGGATGTTTGGGGGATGGCTTCTCCGCTGGATTAAAGGCTACCTGTCCAACAGAAAATCTCTGTGTTGTTCCAGGGACATAGAAGTGTAACTAAAGACTTTGAATTAGGAACCCCACAGGGGTGTGCTCAGTCCCACACTGTTTTAATAATTCTAATTAATTGCATTACTTAATGCTATGCCTAGTCAGCCCCATAATTATGTGATTAGTTTTGCTGATGATATAATGATTCACACCACCGGATTCTCTCAACACCCAAAACATTCTTAATCATGTACTACCTCGTGTCAGGACCTGGGGTTGATAATCTCTACTGATAAAACAAAGATACTCAATAGGCTCCTCCTCGACAGAGAGGCACAGTTCGTCAGATCCAATTGCATGATGGGTCCTCTTCTAGAATATGTAAGCAGATACAGGTATCCTAGGCTTTGAGGTCCACTACTTGGACCTGTTGTAACAAGACTTTGTCGCCAATACAAAGAACGACTAAGACACTTAGAGTTGTGGCAGGGCTTCACCCCAGGTATGGTGCTAATGTTAAAATTGTGAAAATGATGTATCTTGCTTATATTAGATCATTGGTTTTAATTTTGCTGCGCCACTACTTGCTCTTGTGTCTGACTGGAAGCTTGGAGGGGTGGAAAAACTGCAGAACGAAGCAATGAGGATCATCCTAGATGCCCTCGTACTGCCAAAATTTTAAATATGCAAAAAGAACTTGATATTCCAAGCATCAGAGATCGTGTTACTGAAAGAAATATCCTAATTGGGGTTAATATGCTCAGGCAAGCTCATTCAAACCCCTGCACAGAAGCCCTCCAAACTTTCCTCAGCACTGGTGAACACTCCTCCAGATGGATCGAAAAGACTGGAACCGACCTCCGCATGAATCAGATACATGATCTATGTCAAGTAAGGCAACAGCGGCACTTCTCCGCTCCATGGAATATTACCCCATTCCAAACTACCATTCCTCCATTTCCCCCCAAACTACTTCTTAAGATTAACTAAGCAATGATGAAATCAGTGATAGAACAATAGCACACTTTCCATCATAACAGTAGAACAATAGCACACTTTCCATCATAACAGTAGAACAATAGCACACTTTCCATCATAACAGTAGAACAATAGCACACTTTCCATCATAACAGTAGAACAATAGCACACTTTCCATCATAACAGTAGAACAATAGCACACTTTCCATCATAACAGTAGAGTAATAGCGCACAAACTTTTGAAGTGCTTGGAACTTGCTGCTCAAGAAGGAATTTACAGCTGATGACGCAACTCAGTGCAATATAAAGTTTGCTTTATTAATTAAATGATTAATGACGGAACTATTATTTGCTAATGAATACTTGAAGACAAATTAGAAATGCAGGCGGCATTTTATTATCTATGCCAGGAAGTGGGGAAATTATTTAGTGTTAACGTTTATTCTAGAAAATGCATACTAGTAGCGAAATTTCTTTGTTTATAAGCAGAAACCAGAGGCATTTCGCCATTGTAGAATGGTTTAATTTTAATTAATAATTGTGATGTAAATGCATAGTTATATAGCCAGATTATATACGTGATTAGTGATATTTTTGGCGATTTTTTTTATGCGTACCAAAGACAAGGATATAGTGACCCCATGTGAATTATCAAGTGCTTGTCGCACATCTGCTGAAAAACGAAGAGCATTTAATGGGGATATTATAGTGTATTATAAAGTGATAAATAGGAAGATATATAGAAGAATTAGAAAGTGTTGTGTAGGGTAGGGTGGCGGGGTGTGAGTGAGGCATTGTGGGAGCAGCAGATCGTCAACATGTCCGACGTAGAGTGGGGTGAGTTGCCCAGATTTCCATTAACTTTTTTCCCTTAAATTGCGCTTCAAAGAGTAAATGTGCTTGTGGAGGTGAAGAGTTGTGTTGTGTACCCAGAGTGACAAGTACAAATCAGAATATACTTTCTGGACCGATTCAAAAGTAATTGGAATTGAGAATGCGATTTTGACAAAGTTTTTAAGTCTCGTCTCCTTCAAACTTTCCTTCCATGTGGAAGGTGACATTCACACATAAATGTTAATTTGCAGATGCTGACGACTTCGAGCCCCCCAAGGTGGCTCCAGCACTGCCCACAGACAAGTGGGATGGGAGGACGAGGAGGATGACATTAAGGTGAGCCAGCCAGCGTGTGCCAGCTCCACCAGCAGCTGCTCTGGGGTCAGGACCTCCAGGGAGGACACTATCATCCCTGGAGGTAATCAGGTGAAAGATGACCTTCCACATTCACTGCTGAACCAGCAGAAATAGCCCGTAAACCAAGCATGTTGGGTGACCCTAGAGAAGGCACCCTCTTGTCACCCACCAACATCGTGAAAACTCGCACTTAGTTACTTGATACACTTGTAACTATTATTATAGTCAAAATAGGCGGCACTAAACCATAATAAGTCTTACAGTGCTTTGAACACTTAGGTAACATCAGAACCAAGGAGTATTTCAGTAGGTATGTTCATGCTAGGAATAAGTACTACTGGTAATAATGGTTCTTCATCATGACTCACGAAATCGTAATGACACGATTGCAAACAAACCATACCACGGGCGGGATTTGAACCCGCGGTCAGAGAGTCTCAAAACTCCAGACCGTCGCCTATGCTAACCTTCCTATGGTGTAAAAATATACCTAGTTGGACGAATCTTATTGTGGCTAGCTGGTCCAGTGGCTAACGCGACAGTCTGGAGTTTTGAGACTCTGACCGCGGGTTCAAATCCCGCCCGTGGTATGGTTTGGTTCTTCATCTGCTAATTTCGGCAATAAAATATAGCCAAAATTGTACCACGCGTGGGTTTTATATAAGCGATATCTTCTGCAAATGGTAAGAAATGTAGCCATACTTAACAAAACTCTCCTAAGGTAAAATAACCCAATGTCAATTTTTATTTGCATCTGTGGAATCTTTGATTTTTCCAGGCCACAACATGAAACATTGATTGGCTCTTGATTTGCCACGTGTGGTAATTTTTTTGCTATCTCAAAGTAATTTGCCCAAGAAATAGCTGTTTGTTCCATGATGCAGCTAGCTTGTATGAATCGTAAAATAGTAAAGAGTTCCACCAAGGAATATCAGTTATAGCTGAATAATAAAAAGTTATTAGAGACCAGATCCTTGTTTGAGTTGAATAAAGTCCAATATTAGGTGGATTTTGCCATTGATGGATTTATTGGGTGAATATGTGCAATTCTGCACTTTATACCTAGGTCTCACCTCTGCATTATTTTTTGAGAAAAAAGTCTGAAATTGATGTAGATATATAATAATATACTCATAACTGTTAGGGCCAAAGCACATGACTTTGCATCTAGGAAGTGGCGGAAGATAGTGCTGTGGTGGTGAGGCTGCAACCAGCAGTCTCAGCACCACAACAAACAACATTTGCCACCATCTCGATAAATAATGTTTACTGTAACAGATTGGAAAAAAAAGATAGGCCCACTTGAATGTAACTCAAGTTAGCTCAGTGATGGCCAATGTGTTAAAAATATAAGGCTCTAGTCCTGGGTAAAGAAAACTATGGCACCTATTAACTATACAGTGTAGATCTCAGACTGAATGCAAAAAAGTTTTAAGAGTTGTGGTTACCAGTAATTTAAAACCAAAAGAACTGTTCATAGATTTTTCACAATTAAGCTAATAGAGTTCATATCAAGAGCATAAATACATAATAGAAGTTCTCAAAGTATACTTCGGCTTTACATATCCTTAATAAGGCCTTGTTTAGACTGTGCTCTTCATTTCTGGTCCTAATATCACAGAATGAACATAAATACACAGGAAAGCATAGAGAGAAGGATGATGCATTTGCACTCTTGGAAATGTGTAAAATTAAGGGACATATACCTGGCATACACCTGGAGGGTGTTTCAGGGGTCAGTACCCCCACAGCCCAGTCCATGATCAGGCCTCATGGTGGATCAGGGCCTGACCAGCAAGGCTGTTGCAGCTGGCCGCACGCAAACAGATGTATGAGCCACAGCCCATTTGGTTGGGAGCTGACGTTAGGTGCATGAACAAAATATACAAATAGAAAGCTAGAATACATAAAGGGATATAAATAGTGCTGAAAATATCCAACTTAGAGCAATAGATTCGAGTTTGGGAACTTTAGATTTGGAAGGCATTTGCATCATTATGCAGTAATTTTGTTGCATACATTCTTATTTGGAAATAGGGTATAAAATGTCAGTTTTATCTATTCCTTGCTCCTTGTCCTTGTAGCTAGAGGTGTGTAGATGTAGTTGACTTTGCCCTTATTGCACAAAATGGCTGACTATGGCCTTTATCTTCTCTGCATCATAAACACTATACATTTTCTTTTATTAACATTTTTACACTTCATTATATGTCACCAACATATTCAACAATTATATAAATGTAACTGGCATAGGTAAAAAGACTGTTTAAGGCCTGGTAGGCAACGCTGTTGCTTCACACAGTGTGTCCGTGGTTCGATCCCTGGCAAAGGGTGGAAATTTTGGTTGCATTTCCTTACCTGTTCCATTGACCTAGCAAGTAAGTTGGCACCTGGGTGTTAGTCAGCTGGTGTGGGTCGCATTCTGGGGAAAAAGTTTGAGGGCCCCAATGGAAATAAGACAGTCCTTGATGCCTCGCTGCCTTTTTTGGGTTATCATGGGTGGCTAACTTTCTGGGGTTAAAAATCCAAACAAAATCTTATCTTAGGATGTTTAATTAATGTAATTATGTTAGTCATATGAGTAACCTGCCAGCCATAACCACTTCCACTACCCACCTCTTAACTACAATTTTCTTAGAAATTGTAGTTTCATGCTTAATTGTCTACTTGGCACCTCAGCATCACTTTTATTACTTTAGGGTGTCTTGATTAACCCTTTGAGGGTCGACAGGGCCTCTCCGAAACTCGTTCTCAGGGTCGGTCAAATTTAAAAAAAAAAAAAAATTATTTTCTCTTATGAAAAGATAGAGAATCTTTTCCCGATCATAAAGACACCAAAAGTTTGAAAACTTACGGAATTATGCTCTCGCAAAGTTAGCGGTCTCGGCGATGTTTACGCATCGGCGATTTTGCCCACTTTGAGCCCCATTTTCGGCCAATTTCACTGTACTAGTCGACAAAAATCATGAATATTTCGCTAGAACTCCATTTTTTCTATCGAATGGGTGCAAGAAACCACCCATTTATAAATTCAACTATCCAGTACAGTGGTCAGAATTTAGCAATTTTGCCAATTTCACACAAATTTCAAAAGATGCCAATTTCCGAATAGGGTCCAGAATAAACAAGATAGACATTCCTGGCACTAAAATGACATTTCCTCTAGTCATTAGTCATGTCTCAAGGCCCCTCTTATATTCTTTTGCTTTCCACTTTTGAATTTTTATTTTCACAAAAAAATATAAGATTTACTGTTATGCAGACTACTGCATTAGTGTAAAAAATGGTATAAATATTATTGGTGCACTTGTAAAAGAATATTAGACTCACCAGTTGACGTGTATTGCACGATTGGCACGATTTGTTTACTTTTGAAGTTTGGTAAAAATCGAACATTTCTGCTACTTTGAGCTCAATTTCAAGGCACCTTTCATTGTAAAACCAGTCAAAATCATCTCAATTTCTGTAATATGTCTTCCATTCTATAAAATGAGACCAAGAAAACTAGAATACAACAATAAATACCATACGAAAATACACTGCAAAGTCGCTGATTTATTAAAAAAAATGGTCAAAGTTATTTTTTTCTCATTATGCACTGTGTGCTGCAGGATTTTTTTTAGACTGTGCACACTGACCACATAGACCCATTCTTTCATATGAAGGCTTACCAGCTTTCTCCCACTAGATTTGAGGCCGCTAGAATTTATGAGTACTAGTACGTCAAAAACCCCTACGCGTAAGACGTACTAGTACGACGAAAACCCTCAAAGGGTTAATATCCAGAAACAAAACAAGGTGATACGAACAAATATGGAGCGGATAACCACAGACAGTATTGTATGTATCGAGAGACTGATGACTAGTACGTTTATGCCAAAGCAGTGATGCCAGGCCTCCCTCACTGCTTCAGTGCACCTTGATGGTAATGGCACACTACTGTTGGAAATAAAAACATTAAATTTAAATCTTGGCTATTTGTGACAGTCATTCTGTTTACAGTTGTATAATATAATGTTAGTGCACTATTTTTCTGGATGTTTCTCTCATTGGAAATGAGTTACATTTAACTGTTAGATACCCTTGAGGGAGGTTCCTTGATGCTGGCGAGGGAGGGTTTCTGATACAAAAGAATTGGACATGACCTCTCCTTCCTTGGCTTGAACTGGATTGCCTCCTATTTTCCCAGACACTGTGTAAATCCTAGTGGGTTAGTTCTCTCTCAGGAATGCAATATAATGGTTGACTTGTTATTCTAGGTTAGATTCCACATAATTTTCTATATAAAACTTTTGTGAAAGTTGGAACTTGAATTTGAAGCCTAAATAAAACTTGCATGTATTAATGTATTACATAAAGTATTTACTGCATTGGTATTACTTGTTTGTATTCTTTTAATCTACAGTTGTTGCTATACTATGTATACTCTAAAATTACTAAAAAGTGCACATTTATCCATCACTTATAATTATGCAATATTTAATACTGTTGCAGTGTATTGGGCCACAACTTGGTAATTTTGGTTTGTAATTCATTTTGATGTTAAGTTGATGTTTTGACTTTGACTGGAAGTTAGTTAGGTTGCTAAAGTTTAATTTAATTAGCAGTTGCCATTTGGTTATAGTTTGTAAGGTAATTTTTGTTAGTGTTCATAATTATTAACACTTTCACTGCCCAAAGCCCAAAAATTAAATGTGCTTAATGTGTACATTATAAAAAATCTGAAATGGTAGAGAATCTTATTCTGAAAGGAGTGACACTAAAAGTATGAAATTTGATGGGAGAACTTAGGGAATTGCACAGGTGCAAAGTTAATGGTCTGGGCATAGTTTATACATACGTGATATTTGCCCACTTTAAGTCCTATTTTAAGCCAGTTCTATTGCTCAGTATGACCAAATTCTTGGTTATTTGTCTGGTATGCCTTCTCTTCTATTGACTGAGCACAAGGAACTGCCTATTCAACTACCAAAACTATG